GTTGTTCACATACCATTTTACACTGTAATGGATTCTCCCCCAATTTATTTAATCTGAGAAGGACAAATAACTACAGGTATAATTTACAAGAAGATGAAGCTTTGGGAAATTTCCTCCATAACCCAAGAGTAATTTAGCAAAACCTTCAGGATACCAATCTAATATTACAATCTACATTATTAAATCCTAACCTGGTGTTCTTCACAGATAACATTTTGATGATTCTAACATATTGAAGCCATATTAAGGTACAGCATGGAATGGTTGATCATCATCGTCTACACTTAACTTCATGATCTCAATCCTATTCTTGACCAGTCAGCCAGCCACTTTCCAAAGGAAGTAATTGTCTTAACATTAACTGCTTACAATGGAATTTAAAAAAAAATGAGAATATGAACAAGTCAAAATTAAGAGAGAAGTAATGGTTTTATTGAAGTGATTTATTTTCAGGAACTAATTGAATCTGATGTAGTGACTACAAATAGGCCGAGTCCTGCCTGGAGAATGTGACCTTCCTGTTATTACAAAAAATACTGACACAGCTAACAGCTACATAAACTTTATTGGTTAGAACTCCGTATTGCAGAGATAAACAGGATACAATCTTTTTCTCAACTTGAAAAGGATTGAAAGCACCGTGTTCTGATCTAAAATCTTATATTGTATGAATATCTAAACAGAATATAGATTCAACCCCTTATATACTGAATGCTCTTTCTTCCCAGCTCTCACAATAGTTTACAATGCGCTCTCAGAGTTTCCTGGCTCAGCATTTGCCCGCGCCCCCACCCCTATTCCCCCGCCCCCAAGAAACACCCTTTTGTGCTTATTTGGTTTTAACTACAGTACTTAATAATAATAATAATAATCATTGCATTTGATATAGCGCCTTATCAAGTCTTCGAGACGTCTCAAAAAGCTTCACAGAATGTACTGTATACTTTGTGGGCGAAACCCGGCAGCTAAATGCGCACAGCAGTATCCCACATACAGTCGTGGATTGAGTCGTGACCAATTTATTATTGTTATTTTTTCAAAAAATTATTATCCCCGGAAAAGCGGTCCACCAATCAACTAACAACCGGTTCCTACTTGCTGCTGGTAAACAGAGGTGTGTCGAGTAAAGAAACTTGCCCAACATTTCGCCCTGCCGGGAATCAAACCAGGTCGCTTGTTTGCGAGGCGAGCGCTCTAACCACTGAGCTACAGAACTTCACATCAAACTTAAAATCAGACTGTATAGAGAGTAAATGCCTATGTGGGGATTTGGCAAGCACTTGTTTCTTGCATTATTGTTTCTTATTTGTTTTACTACAGTAATTTGCAAAGTTTACAAATCTAGGTAAGGATGGCTACATATTGGGTCTCATAGAACTCGCATAGATCCAAAGCGCTACAAGAGGCTACCTGCGTGAAGGGTTCTCTATATTGTTATATATTCCATGCCTTGATACCTATAACATCATGTGCTGCTCACATATATAAATTTTATGAACGTATCCATAAACAAATCAATGCTATGTTCACATATTTATAAACAAAGGATTATTTATTTACATATTCATTGAGTTATTGACATCTATATGGTCCCACAAGATTCCGAAAGTCATTTTCTAAACTACTGGTTATAACAATAGTCTTGCACAGCTAAACTGATTCTTGATATAAATGAAAACATTGAGATTAAGGTGTGGTCAAGGCCTTCAAAATTGTGAGAGATGCAGATGATTGAGTAAAGGCTGTTTGATTTCGACCTTGAGAACAGAACTGGAGACAAAATGGGTGTACAATTAAAAAGCCTAAAGGATGACCAGAGGACTAGAGTTTACAAGATGTTTGCTCTACAGAGTAGTGGATGTGTGAAAAAAAATGCAACAAAAACAGTTGATCTTATGTGAATCCTGGAGGTGTGCACGTGTGGGTGCTGGGTGAAGACAAAAGATCGGAGTTGACTGTGATGCCCCCTGCAGTCAAACAGCCTGCCAAAGCCTTGTGTCTAGCACACATATGCTTAAGGGAGGGTGGCAGCTGTGAACACCATGGCCCAAAAGAAGAGAATAAGAGTCAAAACAACTTCAGAAGAGAGGGGGGGGGGGTAAAAAAAAGTGTTCTGTAGAATACACTTTCTATATTTTTCCTAATTATACTAAAGTATTGAATATGAATGTGCCAAAACAACAGCGAGGAAGAAATGAGAGTGGAATCTGTTCACCACTTATGTCCTAACTGGAGAATGAACCTAATGTGTATATGCATATGCTAATAAATTGATAAACACGCCCAGTTCAGGGACCCAGCAAGCATTGTCAATTGCTTTGAAAATCCGCCTGTTGTGAAAGGCGCTATATAAATGTAAATTGTAAACTGAAATGACAATGACTTCTCAGCAAGACACGTGTGCTACTATCTTTCAATACGGAAATTACAAATAACCAGTTTGGCTCTACTCTATCCAGTTTGATGCAGGGAATAAATCTCACAGCAGCATTTCATAATTTTATCTGAACGGTTTCAGATATTGTACACATATTGGAGAGTAATGTACTTCTGAAACTAGCCAATAATGGGCCGCATGCTGTGTACCCAGAATTGCCTCAATGAAGTTTGTTTTATTCATATTTAGAATGTCTATATTGGTTTTAGCTGTCTTTGTTAAAATGTTAAAAGCTAATGTAGAGGCAGAAACAGGTGTGTGCATTAACAAATTAAGCAGTCAAAAATAAATTAGGCATAATAATCATTGCATTTCATGAAGACACTGAATTATCTGTTGTGTATTTGTAGTATTTCTATTTTTAATGGTAGTGACTTACTTCAGTCACAAAGTGTTTAATTGACTAACCCAGCGTCTTCTTAATACAGTTTTCTGAATGTAAATTGTAATAGAAAGCGATCAAATAAGAACCTTCTAGGTACAAATTCTGATGTGATTTATATTTCACCATGTCACTAAATGCGAAAGAACCTGTTTCCCAATGCCTGGCTGGTGCGCGTTTATTCAGACAGATCTGCTAAATCCTGTGGCTAGAATCACAGTGTGTTTTAAACTGACAATCATACGAAAGATGTGGAGGATTTGAAGACAGTAATATAAACCTCTGTTTTTCCTGCCTGAAGATCTTGAACGGAAACCCTAACGTTAAATAATACTGTGCCAATAAAATAAGCGAGTGGGTTGAGATTGGATTGCGATTTGTTTCGCCGAGCGGTTCGCAAACGATCGAAAATAATCTTTTGAGCAAGCTGTCACTCAGAACCTCAGCAGGAGGGTGAAAAATTTCGGTGCAAAAGTTCTCGGTTTTATGAATGCAAGGAGAAGAAGCAGCTCGTATGATTCAACCAATTGATCATTGATGCTTTCCTCTGCCCCCCCCCCCCCCCTCCACCTCCCATCAACCTGGAAGAGATGCCGATGGTGTGCAAGTGTTTGGATATATTTAAACCCTTATTTTGTAAAAGAAAACACACGAAATATCCCTGAAACAGAATTGCACACAGGCATTGTAACCCAAAACGTGAAAGGTGTGGAGTGAGTGAGTGAGTGATTTTGATTGATTGCTGATTGATTGATGATTGATTGCTGATTGATGATTGATTGATGATTGATTGCTGATTGATGATTGATTGCTGATTGCTGATTGATTGCTGATTGATGATTGCTGATTGATTGCTGATTGATTGCTGATTGATTGCTGATTGATTGCTGATTGATTGCTGATTGATTGATTGCTGATTGATTGATGATTGATTGATTGACAGCTCAATTGGCACAAATGCCTCAATGGAACGTCATTGGCCGCGCATGCGCTCTAAAGGGAGCGGGGGGGGGGGGGGTCCGACTGCATCTTACCGATGACCCCCCCAAAAAGAAACACACCTTTTGGACCGTATAAAGGTGACACGATTAAAACAACCCCCCCCCCCCCTCCACCCCGCAGATCAGCCGCTTATTGAAGGTAGTTACTGTCATTCTTTATTGGGTCGGGGGGGGGGGTGAGAATCCGTTGATTTCTCTCCCTCCACCTCCATCACCTCCTGTTTGCGTGGCGGGACTACATTTCCCAGAATCCACGACGCCTCGGCAGGCAGCAGGCGGGAGGCGGGCAGTCGAGGCCTCCTGTCAATCAAGCGCGGGCTCTCGGCTCTTTTGAATGAAATGAATGGGGAGGGGAGGGGAGCGCGGTCCGCGGGCGAGCATGGGAATGACTGCAAATCCCAGAATCCCTCTCTCTCGCTCTCTCTCCCCCTACACCCCCCCCCCGCCCCCGTCCTCGTCATCATACGCGCTAACGCACTCGCTCGTTCGCCCTCCCCGGGGTCTCTCTCTGCTGATTGGTCAAGCTCCCCGTCAATCGACGGCCCGAGGCGCGTCGCGGGAGAAGCCAATCGGGTGCGGCAGAGGCGGTGGGTGGGCGGAGCCGTCCGGTCGGAGAAGCTCCGTAACCGTTAGCGCAAATTCTCCGCCGCTCAGTGCTCAGCATCCCGAGCGCGAGAGGGATGGCACCTGGGGAGAGGGGAGCGCACCGCTAATTACAGAGCTACCCGATAATATTATATACCAGATAGATAGATAAAAGATATAGATATATATATAGAGAGAGAAAAAAGAAAATTTATAAACACAGACGTTTAAAAAAAAAGGGGAGAAGAGGAAAAAAAAACCCCGACAATTTTTAAGCTTTTTGTGAATATATATATATATATATATATTGATGTTTTTTTTTCTCTCTCTCTCACCACCACCACCTCCACCTCCATCACCTCCTCCACCCCCCTCGTCTCTGCTGGATGGACTGCGATGAAATTATCTATTGAGAGTTGACGCGGGGAGAAGGGCAGCAGAGGGAGAGGCGACGACCGTTAACGATTTTATTTTCAAATTTTTTTTAAAAAAAAATATATATATAAATCATATATTGTTTTACTGCTGCTACTGCCCGGCGAGGAGGAGGAGGAGGAGGAGGAGAAGGAGAAGAAGAAGGAGGAGACGAGGAGAGAGAGAGAGAGAGAGAGAGAGGGGGAAAAAAAAACATACACACAGGTTAAATGATGAAGAAGTTTAATTTCCGGAAGGTTTTGGACGGTTTGACGGCAGTTTCCTCACCCGCTCACCCAGGCGGCGGCGTCGGTGGTGTGTTCGGGTCCGGGGCAGGCGGTGGTGGTAGTGGCGGCGGCGGCGGCGGTGGAGGAGGAGGAGGAGGAGGCGGCGGCGGTACCGGTGGAGGTGGCGGTTGCGGCGGCGGCGGCGGTGCAGCGGGTGGAGGCAGAGCCGGGGATCTGGAGATTATTACCGAGACGCTCACCTCTGAGCACTTCCAGATCTGTAAGGTAATAAACGAAGGAGACGCAATCCATCCATCCATCCACCCTCCTCCCTCCCTCTCCCTCTCTCCCTCCCCCCTCTCCCCCCCCACTCCGCATCGAATTGCGTAAACATTGTAGATTTCATTGAGTGTTTTGATTTGAAACATTTCAAACAAACGTAACATAACGGATTACACGCATCAGATTGGTTGCATTGTCGATCCGTTGTGAAACACGGTAAAGCCTTCTGAACTCGGTTGTTTTTTTTGGGGGGGGGGGTGGGGATGTGTGAGGATGAACTATATATATATACACACACACACACACATATTTATGTCCACATCATCATAAAGCAAACCCCTGCTTTTATATGTCGTTCAGCTCTCTTTCATCTTTTTTTTGTGCGCGTTCATTCACACATCAAACTTTGAACTGAATGATATCTTTCTCCCTCTCTCCCTCTCCCTCTCTCCCTCTCCCTCTCTCCCTCTCTCTCTCCCTCTCTCCCTCTCTGCCGCACTGGGGGTTGCGAATTTATAGTAAACAAAAGTTGCTGCCGGTTGATCAGTAAATAAAAGCACAAGTGATTCGCGGAGACGGGAACAACTGGTGCTGCGGCTCAGCAAAGTGGCATTCATTGGGTTAACTGAAAAAACACACGTTTGATTTAAGTTTCAACACATGTGAATATTAACCAAATATTTGGCGGTGAGTTAATAGTGATGGGTGGGGGGGGGGGGGGAGATGGGGGAGGAGGAGGGGTTAAGGTATCCTAATAATCTCGGAAAATGTATCCCAGAGCTCTGAATTAAGTTTTACTGCTCTTAAAAATAATTGAAACCCCAGTGGAGTTCTGTTCGACACCCAACACCCGGAATGGTCCCGGTGCGGATCAGGCTAAAGGGATCCTTGGAGTAGGTCAGGATGTTAAAGTGGACTTCGCACGCTTTCATTCGGGAAGAAGAAAAAAACGCGCCTTTTCATCGTGCTTTGCCCGGGAATCACTGCCACAGTGGTTGATAGCAGTTACATAATTGTCAAGTGTAGTGACTTTTTGGGCAGACAAACGCGGTAGCCATTTTTTTTTTTGCACACCCAAGGTCCCATGACCAAGCGTGAGGTGAAGGATTCATTTCACCAAAAAAGGATTGTTGGCCAAGACGCCAGGAGAATCTCCCTTCTCTTTTTGAATAGTGTCATAGGATTTTAATGTCGAGGTAAAGGACAGGTTGGTGCACCTTCAGTTTGAAGTCTCAGCAGAAGGACAGCACTTCTAACAGTTTCCGATTCCCCCCAGTACTACGCTCGAGTGCCATAGACCATGGGAACCAACACCATCTTTAAAATGATGCATGCAGTAATATGGCAGTGGAAATACTGGACTTCTTATGGCGGAATATGAAATCTCTCAGAAAATGTACGACTATGATTTATGTAACGAGGAAAAGAAGAGGCGGTTAACAAATGTACACAACTTTGGAGTACGTCAACATCTATTTTGTGTGAAAGAAATATATTTCAGTTGATCAACTTTTGAATTTAAATACGTAATTTTTTTGAAGAACTTGTTCAACTGAGCTGACAAAATTGAAATGGAATAATAATAGTAATCCTTGCATTTGATATAGCGCTTTTCACGTCTTCTAGAATAGTGCTTCACAGAATATGCTGTAAAGTGAATTGACTGTATATTTGTGGGTGAAATGCGGCAGCCAATTGCGCTGTGTTTTTTCCTTGCTTGTAAAATAATAACATACACAGAGAGAGTTGGTTGGTATGAGGATCTGTAAAGGTATCTGAGCACATTAATCTGTGATTGAGAGTATAGATTAGCACTTCAGTTATAGTGACTTCAGGAATGTATAGCAATATAAATTACAAGGGCAAGGCAGGATTACAAGAGGTAAAAAGAAACAAACCGTAATGTTTGTTTAATTCTTGAACTGTGTAAATATTAAATGATGGGTAAATGTATGTAATTACGTTTAACAACAATTAGATAAAGAAGCTGAATTGCAACAGTGTTTTGATAGTTATCATGGTAGTTTGTGTAAAGTAAGACTGGCAGAAACATCATTGGAAAGAGAAAGTAAATTTTACTGGAAGGCTATTAAGGATTTATATTTTTTGAATTTGGTTTTATTCATATTTCAGCTGTTAAAGAACTGAATAGGAAAACTAGAACTGTAAAGTGTATGTAAATTTTTTTNGCTTGTTTTGTTTAAGAATCAATAACTAAGGATATATTTTTCTATAAAATCTGAGTGTAATAGTGGTTAGTTACTGAATATTATTGTCATAATAATCCTTGCATTTGGTATATCTTGTGAATCTCAAAGAGCTTTACAGGATATACTGCAAAGTGCAGACATCTTCCCGATGTGAAAAGCGCAATACAAATGTCATTTTGTTGTTGTTGTAGTGATGTGTTTTGCGGGTGAAAATGAAACCATCTGCTGTTCTGTGATTCTCTTTGATAACAATTATTGCTCTATTTATGATTAATGTAGTAGAAAATGCACTTTCAAAATCAAAAAGTAACCTTTCACTTATGAAAGCAAATTCTACTTTTCAGAGAAAGAAGTAGAAAAACGGGTCTTTGATGCTGCAATAATTGAATTGACAGGAGTTCAAATAATTATTGTGCAGTCAGTAATTCACATCATGCTACCTAAGATTCAACGTAACATTAAAAGGAAAGAAGCCAAAGGTTTTGGATGGCTACATAGAATACCAAATATTTGAGATGGAGCTGTCTAGTATGACCCATAATGAAGGTGCAACCATGTAGTGTTACATTTTAGTGTTACATTTTAAACATTGACAATCATAATTTATATGTCTTGGAAGCTCAGCGGTGTGTATACTAAATAACTACCTATTTCAAAACTGCTATAAATTTTTAAACGTGCGTAGCAGTGTTTCTTAAATATTTATACATGATGCTTTTGATATCTGTATGCCCTTTTAATTTTAACATATTACATATGCATGTTATTTTGCACCGTTTAAAAAGGCTATCATGCAGAACAGCCAAGATAAATTGAATAATAAATAGTTCTTAATTAGCAAAACATTGCTGAATAAAATGAATGTTTTGTTCCACGGGTGTTGATCGTAATTTAGAAACCCAATGATGTGACTATTCACTGTACTCAAATTAAAAGCAATATTGTAGACGGTTGTTATTTACTGGTCCAATCTCCAGAATAAGTTCAGTACATGAAAGGGCTCATCCATGGAATAAATATCGTGACACTGATAATGAATTACTGACGTATTTTCACTCGAGTGCTTATGAGACTCGTGAAATACTGCTGACAGTGAATTTGTACTTTTCATTTTAGTGCAAAACATTGCTGAAGTCTTCAAAGGATTAAATAGCCCTTCACCTGTGTCATATGTGTTAATGGCTAACAACAAATGCTATAGCAGTAATAAATGGGTTTTTAAAAAAATGTACAATTTTTTTACTTTAAAGTGAGAACGCTGTATAATGTATGAGTACTGCAGGAGTAAAGCAGTTGTAGTCTTTCTGATGGTGTTTTTGTAAGAAAAGATACATTATTCGGTAATTCTGTTTTGTTACATGCATACTGTATTAACTTTACAAACAGAAACATGTCATGTGTTATTTTTAAATAAAAAATTCAATCCTTTATTCTTGTCCCTTTATTTCTTGGAAAAAAAACATGTTTTCTGCCTTGCTGTACTATGCAGTAGTATATTTACTGAGCTTTAAGATGGCAATTGTGATTTTCAACTTAAATTACAATGCACTTTTTTCTTAACGTATGTACAAATATGATCAAATACAATTTGGAGAAATGGTAAGGCAGATTCAAGAAGAGGTACGTATCGAAGTCCATGATTCCACAATAATAATTATTAGATAGAATTCAGTATTACACTGGCTAAGAGAGAACCTTTTTATGTTCACCAGTGTAGTCCATTAATTTACAGTATATTCTGTGAAGTGCTTTGAGACATCTTAAAGTCGTGATAAGGTGCTATATCAAATGCAAGGATTATTATTCTTTTATTGTCCAGTCAGATTGAGAAATTATCTATTTGTCAATCACTTCAGCAGAGATTGGGAACATTAGGCCGAGTTCATTTTTAAATGCAATTATCCTCTGGTTAGTAATTTTTGTAACTTAACTACTGTACTGGCAGGGTTTGCTTCCCCATCATTGACTCTTTGCTGATGTTAAACCAAATATTATTTGGATGTTTTGTATATGTGCTCAATTGGGCTTCAGTTTTCTGTCCGATTCAAAGTATTGCACAATATGAATTAGGCATTTTATTCCAAGCGAAGCCAATTAGCTCTTGCAGTATAAATGCCAGTGGAGTCCTGTAGCTTATTGGCTAGATCTCTCGCCTCGCAAGCAAAAGGATGTTGGTTTGATTCCAGGGCAGGGCGAAACGTTGGGCAAGTTTCTTTACTCCACACGGCTGTTTACCTAGCAGTAGGTTGGAATCTGGTTGTTAGTTGATTGGTGGATTGCTTTTCTGGGGGTAATTATCCCTTTTAAAAAAAACTAATAATTATAAATATTAACTCAATCCATGACTGTTGTGCACAATTGGCTGCCGGGTTTTGCCCACAAAACATAGTCAATTCACTCTGTAGTATATTATGTGAAGCGCTTTGAAGACGTGATAAGGTGCTATATCAAATGCAAGGATTATTATAATGTTAGAGTGTAACCTGGTTTGGGGAAGAGGTATTTCTCAAAAATGTAGACAGGAATTTTCCCTGGTATATTAATAGTTGTTTTATTGTCAACAATAATAGTAGTTTGTAGTGTCGCAGTGCAAAAACCTTATAATACATTCCATGATATTATGAAGGCAACCATTATTTGCTTGTTCTTGTGATACATATCCATAACAGCAAAATGTTGAAGTGTGTAAGACAAATGTCTACAGATCCAAACTGTAGTTAAAGGGCCATTTATCCATGATGGTGCAACCTTTATAACCCTGAAGGAAAATTTTGGGTAGCTTTGTTAAAGCTA